CCCTGAAAGACAGAAAGACCAGAAGAGACAAGAATGTGCTCAAGGTCGTAGGGCTCAAGATCCTCAACTACAACAGCCCTCTCTATAGAAATAGGACTCCGAGAAAACTTCCTGGTGAAGAGATCTCTACAAGCAGAGGACGGGTGAAGCAAAACAGGAGCTCCACTTATGGACTGTGTAAGAAGTGAAGAAATAGACTCAGGTAGAACTGAGGAAGAAGAAGCAACATAACCTCTAGCTCGTTTGGGTGCCATGGAAACAGAGAAAAAAGCAGAGGCTAAGAGAACTATATGAAAGACTGAGAAACAGAAGCTTCAGCGAAGCAGATCTGAAAGAAAAAGAACTTAGAAAAGCAGATCTGATGAAGAACGGTGAAAAACACAGAAAACAAAGAGTAGATCTGAACAGGATTGGAATTTGAAAGCTTGAAAAAGTCTTTAATGGAGGTTTAATGGAGTTTGGATCGAGGTAGGATATGAAAGTAAAAATAAAACTTGTTTTAACCAAAACCGAAATTCAACTGGGTCAGGTCTGGCCCATTGAAAACACAGGGTCAGTCGACTGATATGAAAAGATAAAAAGTTTGAACAAACGGTCAGTCGACTCCAGGCTGAGGGTAGAAAACATGGTTAAGGATCAGTCGACTCCAGAAGGAAACTCTGACAAGGTCAGTCGACTCCATGTATACACAACCATACTGACAAACAGTCAGTCGATTCCATGCCTGTCAACCCTGATTTTGCCGATTTTTCATGCAACACATCCGTAACACATCCGATCATTCTCCAACTTCCTAAAACACATTAAAACACAAACCAAAACATCATTGTTTTCCCGGTTCATCACAAACATCAAACATTTCTCAACTCCATCAAGTTTTTGATCAAATCCACTAGAATATGCATTAAGTGCCGATCAATAAAACTCTTAGTCACGTACAACTCAAATCTATCAAACGGATGCATCTTTCATTTGTGTTGATCTAGTCTAACTTGAAAGTTGTAGAGATTTTCCCTAAATCTCTAACCTAGAATCCACTAGGGTTTTGAAGTAGCTTGTCACAAAGTCATTCACCTTGAAATCCTTCTCAAGGATTTTGCACCAAACTTGTAGAGAACAATTTGGGTTTTTCTCTCTCTTGAAGAACTCACTTGAGTAGATAGAGAAGAAGATAGAAGCAATCTAGGGTTTATAAGTGTACCCTCTAACAATCACTCACTCTCTCTTGAATGGATTGGAAAGATATGGAGAGTTGAGTGGAAGGAAGATGAAGATTTCTCTCTACAATGAACTCTCTCAAAGATGTGTTAATGGCCTCTTGAAAAGCTCTAGAAGAAATCTCAAAAACCTTAGAGAAAGAACTCTCTAGATGTTGCTTTTATAGTAAAAACCCTAATTAGGTCGTTGGTCAAAGTCATAGGACCAACTAGGGTTTTGACCGAGTGAACCGGGAGTGAGTTGGAGCAAACCAGGTGATTTTCCAGCAAATCCCGCAAGTCAGTCGACTGATGCTTTATTTACAAAAAATGCCACTGAAGCCTTGAAGGTTAGTCGGCTGACCTTTTGGCACTACTGGACCCACAAAGGGTTAGTCGACTGACCTTATGATGTATCCTGAATCCTTCAATGTCAGTCGACTCCTCCTTTATCCAGCTGCCTGCTTGACCTGCCTGCTTCACCTGCTAGCTTGACTTCCCGTTGAGCTCGGTTGCCGCCGTTCATGTCCATTCTTGCTGTCTTCAGCTCCGTAAGCCTCTGGACACTTGAACATCAAGACCTAGACCTAATACGTACAAGGACTCATATCACTTAAGTACATGTGAAAAGTCCATTATGCCCTTGGCTGTCACAATTCACAAAATATAACATTTACACCTCTAAGGTTAAGTTGACTCCTCAATAAACCAACAAATACATCATTCAAATATGCATTATCTAAAGTTATCGAAAATAATTTTTTCTCAATGCCCCAATCACACAATAATGTATACATTTTCTCACATAGTGCAACACCAGTGTGTGGAGTAGGCATGTAAGAAAAACTTAAGATTTTCTTTTGCAAATTCCATTCTTCATCAATAAAATGAGCAGTTAAAGAAATATGCCCATCATTTGCAATGGAAGCCCACAAATCAGAATTCACACATATCTTTCCACGAATTGAATGCAACAGCTTTTTCAAATTTCCTTTCTCCCTAATATATATCTTATTAATGTCCGACTTCACTGCGTTTCTAGACTTAAGTCTGACTTGATCATCTGAATTTGCTAAAATAACATACTGAATAAGTTCTCTAACACCTTCATACTCGACAAATTGATAGGGAAGATCATGTCTAACAATTGCCATACTTACTAACTCACGAAAGACAAGATTAAATTTTGATGGCCTAGTAGACAAAGATGAATTAGAAGTGCCTATAACTATTTGGCCTATATCATGATAGGTGACGGTTTGACACTTTACAATATGTCGTTTGGCATTCCCTGTTCCTTGAGAACTTACGATCACATTTTTTGCAATTGGCCATCACATGCCCATTTTCATCAACATCAAGCAAAATATTAAAATAATCTCACCATTTAGATATAAAAGTACGAGAACATTTTTTGGAAGTTTGACTTTTACTTGTCGAAAGATCTATTGGATTGTTTTCTGAAAGATCGACAACGTTTTCCATCTGAAAATTCAATCAAAATAAACTACTTAGTATATACAATTTCATCTAAAAATTAATAAAAACTAATTGCAGAAACTTGCCATTAAAAAGTCTACGACATTTCTAACACGGGCCAATTTGTTATTCATCATCTCAACCTCAAAACATAATAATACTAATTTGATTTTATAAACAATTAAATACTAAGAATCATGAGATAAAATCTCTCATATTGTTGCAATTATTTTCTCATCTCTTGATCTTTCCATCTTCAATACTTCAATCTACTTATCCATTGTATAAAAAAAGATGTTTGGGCATCTGAATGCATTTTAATTATATTTAATGCCAGAATCTCAGACCGATGTAACTATTGGCAACGTACAACACTGATATCACTATTGCATAAGCGATCCAGATACTTTAAATTGTTGCCTTTTAACCTAATAGTTAATTGAAATCTATAATTGAAAATATAGAGGCTCCGACAGAATAGTATAGTTGACATCAAAAAGCTCTAAGCTTTCATAGTTTGATGGTATAAATAAAACGTCATCACTGCGGATGATGAATGCTTCAAACACAAAACAAAGAATAAACAAACCATTAAGAATAGAAAGAAAAAGAATAGAAAAGAAGGAGAAGAGTGATAAATTGAGAATAAAGAATACTAGAATAGAGAAGAAGACGTACTTTTCAGAGTTTCAGAGTGAGAAGAAGAGTAGAAGACGATCAGACTTCAGAGTGAGAAGAAGATATTGACGGCCGTCCATATTTTTGATCGTACTGTTTCTAATTTCTAAGTGCTAACATTTAACATTTTCACCTAATTACGGAATTACCTAAGTATACCTAATAAAAAAAAATTAAAAT